CGATCACAAAATTAACTCTACCACTACTAGAAATGCAAAGAAGTGCTTAGTCTCTCGCCAAGGTCATCAATAAATCGTGGTATGTTCTTTAGAAAATGTGTTAGAATACCATAGTCTTTTTTCTTTATTTTCTTTTGAATAAAGTTTTTCTTTAATATACTGTTTATCAATTTCAAATGCTTTTGTAATAACATTTATTGATTTAAAATCTGATTGAATAGGTGATGTTGGATATTTATTTTGTTTAGGTTCCGCTATCGGTGTTGTAATATTTATTGGAATCTGATCTTGATTAATGTTCTGATTGACACTTTCTTCATCCAATTCAGTACTGGGTTTTCCAGTTTTGAATTCATAGAAGAAAGCTCTGGAAGTAAAAGGACTTATATGTGGGGGAGGTGGTTCTTAAAAGGATCCAAATTGTAATAATTTTTTTTCATCCGTTCTCTTTATTATTTTTGATATATGTCTTTGTTCAAAATTTCTTGGTGGTTGAGTAATATTAATTTGCCATTGATCTGGTATAGTAATTTCTGACCATTTTTGTTGCTTAGGGGTATATGTAGCTGATGGAGTATCTTTACTATGTAAAGCTAATATAGTTGTTTCTCCTTTATCATCTTGTAGTGAATATCTTCGATTAAATTCGGATGTTAGATTGCTTAAAATATCCTCGGTATAATAATAGATAAACGTGTCTATCATTTTAGAATTTCATTTTTGGTAAATGAACATTTAGTACTAGAGTGTTGAGTATAGTTGGATCATGTAAATTGACTTGAAAATTAGGGGCGCAATTAAAATAAATTGTTCCATTGTATAAATTAGTTCGAACCGCTCCTAGTAAAGATTCTTCAAATTTTAACAAAGTTTTATCTCTTAATAACATAAGAATAGGTGAGTCTATACATGTTCTGGACAAGAGCTTAATAGCTATTTGTATTAATCCAAAATGAAGATAATTAAATCTTTTTTGTTTATATTTGTCTAAGGCCAGTGAGGAAAGAAGTTTAATTTCTTCAATTCATTTTGAAGAGATAATGTATGTTCATGTTCTTTAATTGAATAAGCAGTTTTAAAATCGAAAGTACCGATTTGATATATATGTTCTGAATTAACATGTGGTAATTAATCTTGCGTAATAGTTTGAGTAAAGGAATTAATTTTTTATATGATTTCTCTTGAATTAATTGTTGTATGAGATGCCGATGTAGATGCTTCTTTAGATTTAAATAATTTTCTTATCGTAAATGCCATATTTCAAATTAAATTTAGATTCATTCTGAAAATGGACTATCCCAGATTCTTAGATTCACAAAGGAGACTTACCAACGGTCTTACGGTCTCTTTCTAGGACTTGCAGCCTGGAAAATCTATCTTGCCAATGACTCGAGAAAACTAGGGTAGTGATTTTCTGATAAATCTAAGGATTTAATTTAAACCTATGGCTCTGATACCAAAAGCGAGGATCAAAAAATGACGAAACGAAATTGGAAAGTAAAATGATAAACGAAGTTGGAAATTAGAGCCTTATTTGAAATTTTGTTTATTGAATTTAAAATTACAAAAATACAATAGTTTGTAAATTATATTGTTTAGAAAATACAAGTTCGAAATCTGAAAATGAAGTTTGCAGTGAAAGATTTTTGAGAGAGAAGTTTGATTGCTCAAAATCGCCCGTGTCTCTTGAATTCATCTGAGAGTAGCAATTTATAGAGAAGTTGATGGAGGCTTGAATTATTAAAGCAAGCTCTGCGTCTTCTTTTTCCGTTTTCGTGTTTGATATCTATTGGATAACATTTTGTTGAAGTGACATTGCTGAGGTAGGCTTGTCAGACTCTTTTTGGTGTAAAATCTTGATTGGTGTCGTCAGATATTGGTAAGATAGTGTCTTGTCTTGAAGCAATAATGCTGAATGATGGTTGATTCCTGATAGGTGTGGCCTAGATGTCAGGATATGCAATAATTTACATAGATACAATAGTTCGTAAATGCAACAAACAATAATTTACATGCAGTAGATCATATAATAGGTGTGACATTTTTTGGATCCAAACGATTTGGGAAATTACTTAAGAAAAAATCATTATTAACTACATAAAATATTGGTTAATATCTTGCAAACCATCTCAAATATAGAAATGTATTTTAAACTACATAAATTATTATATAATACATGGTGACATACACAAAATATATGTAAACATGTTAAAAACTACATATTAGTATCTTTTTATAAATATTTATCAATTTTAGAGTCAATTTGTAATTATTTCATAAAAAATATAAAATCCAAGAAAAATTAAAACTTACAAAATTTAACAAACTGAAAGAAAATTCATAAAATTTCAAAAATATAAAGAAAAAATACTAATTAAATTTGTAAAATCCCAAAGTTTCTAAAATTACAAAATTCAAACAACAAAACAAATTCCAAAAAAAAAAAAATTATGAAAATACA